GCGTATGGATATTATCCTGTCACTCACAATGTTGTACTTCAAGACGGATCTAGAAATTACTTTTTTAACTATGAAAGCAACTCCATTTTTCCTCGCCTTTTCATCTCCAGAGTAATATATATATGATTGTCTGACTCAAAATGCCCCATGCTGGTCCATCTCATCTCTCCAATGCCTAATATGTCAATATTTATGCGTTCCATTTCTTTCTTAACAATGTCTAATTTTCCTGCCACCAGAGCTCCTTAAAATATAGCACTCCTTACAGTAACCAATCATATAAGGTCAAGAGTAGCATTTGTCCAAGGATAAGGGCAAGAAGGGGCAGGGCAGAGGATAAATGTAAATGAGAATCACAGGGAGGAAATGGGAAGAGTGCTGAATCACAGGGAGGAAATGGGAAGAGCTGCTACACTGTGGGCATTGTAATGAATGTTACTAAACAAAATGCATTTGAATGGTTGAATGGAAAACCAATTTGCCTTGTAAACTTTCACTCAAATAATAACTTAAAAGGATAGAGGGGGGAAATTCCAAAGTACATGCAGTAGCATCTTAAAAAAATTATACCTATTATGACTAAGTGGGATTTATCCCAGGAACGCAAGTGTTATTCAGCGTATGAAGAGTAGTTAGTATTAACAGACTACACGGTGTGGAGGTTTGCAGGGCATTTTAGGGGAGGCTGAGAGTGCACATGATGCCTCAGAAAGTCTACAGTATAAGCAACAGAACAACAGCTGAACGGTACCTGGTGAAGAACCTGAACCCCCCTCCCCAGCTCACCTGGGCATAGAAGTACAGGTGTTCTGCCACTGTCAGGTCGTCAAATAAGACATCATGCTGGGGGCACAGGCCCAGGCTCTTCCGGATCTGAGCCATGTCCTGTGAAATCTCATACCCACTGATGTACGCTCGTCCACTTGTAGGGGGGAAGAGACCTAGGGACAAAAAGAGAATGCTGAAGTTCAAATCTGGTCTGAAAGGGCTGTGGTCATGTTGGTCTGTGGCCTCCACTGGGTGCTGGCGACCTCCACTCCTGGCATGAGGCCTGCATCTGGGGTTAGCAGAAGGCACGCTCTCAGCCCAGCTTGGGCATGAGGTGAGGAGCCTCGCTTCTGGAGCTGTCTGGAGCCTGTCCTTGCTGCATCTCGGCTGGCTGCTGAGGGGCTTACAGACAAAGAGGGGCCAGTGGGGCAGGCTCCATGCCCAGGGCAGGCTCTGTGGGAATACGGGCTCTGTGCTGGTCTGGGTGATGTGGTCAGTGTGGTGTGGACCAGCTTGTGTGTGACCTAAGGTTCTACCTGGCCCATTGGTTCTACCTGGCATTTAAGGGGCCAAGGGGTGGTGATCTAGCTGGAGGGTGCTACCAGGTGGGAGAGCACAGCTCTCCTTCCCAGAGTCCCCAGGCCACAGAGACCCTGGAGACCACCACAGAGGAAACCGTGGCCATAATGGAGAGGTGGCCTGTGGATGTCTGCAAGCACAGGGAAGGCAGGGGGACTGGGCTGAGAGCAGGGACAGGGAAGCAGTATCCCAGTGCCAGGATCATCCGTGAGTATGGAAGGGATGGGTTCTCTGTCACATCAGATTCCCTGTGAGCACAGGCTGTGGCAGTGGTCCCTCTGTAAGCACAGACAGGGCAGTGTTTTCCCAGCACCTGACTCACCTGTGAGCATAGACAAGGTGGTGGTCTTCCCGGCTCCATTGTGGCCCAGCAGGACTGTGATCTGCCCCTCATACAAGTTCAGGTTCAGGTCCCTCACGGCTGCCTTCCCCTTATCTCCAACTTTGAATACCTGTGGGAAGCCCATCTCACTGGACTCCTCCCTCTGTGCTCCATGCCTCACTCTTGGACCCTCCTTCTCTCCCCACACAGACCAGTGTCCAGGTGGTGTGGGCTGGCCGGGCCAGGCTTGGTGAAGGGTGCACGATTCCTCCCTCTGCACTCTGTGCTCCATGCCTCTCCCTTGGATCCTCCTTCCCTCCCCACACAGCCCAGCATTCAGGTGGTGAGAGCTGGGCCAGGCTGGGCTGGATGAAGGGCGCTGGGTGTGTGCCAGCGCTGCTTTGGGCTGCCCCTCTGTGCTCTAAGCCTCCCTCCATGTCTGCAGGAGGTCAGAGGCCATGGGACCACAGGTGGTACCCAGCAATTAGCAGTGACTGGAAAGCTGTAGGGAGCAGAGTCAGCCAAAGAGAGGTGTGTCTGGAGTCTGGGGTGTAGGTGCTGGGTTATCTGTCTCCAGAGGGAGTTTGGAGAGCAGAAGGACCCTCTCCAGCTTGGGGTGCACTCCCCAGGGCCAGGGCCTTGGTCCTAGCCCCTGTCTGTCTTTCCTGGTGGGCGGTACCTTCGACAAATGCTTGATCTTGATCCCGGTCACCAGGTCTTCGGGCTCGGTCTCAAAGAACTCTGATCGGAGGGCTTTCTCTGGGTCTTCATCTTCGTCCTCCTTCCCCAGGAGGGTCCTCGGGCTCCCGCACCAGTATGAAGGCTACAATGGAACAAGACGGGGGTCTAAACTGCCATTTCATATCTGTTTAGCTGGCTGGGGATCCCCCAAACGGTGACGAGCTGGAGTCCTGAGCAGATGAAGAGCGTGGCCTTGGAGCTGTGAGGCTGAGTTCCTGCTCGGCTCCCTGCCCCTGCTGCTTCGTGGGGAGCTCAAGGCCCAGGGGCCCGTCAGTCCTTGCTGCTGTAACAGTGAGACCTCAAGTGGATGGCTTCAACAAACACAGACATTCTCTCACAGGCCTTATAAGGGGCTTGAAGTCACAATTCAGGGTACTAATCTTCTTCTTGTTGTTAAGTGCCGTTTAGTTGCCTGTGACTCATAGCAACCCTGTGGACAACAGCCCTAAATCCTGCTCTATCCTGTGCCAATCTTATTGTCTCTGACACACCTACCCTGATTGCCCCAGTCACTGAATCAATCCATCTCATCAAGGATCTTCCTCTCCTTTGCTGTCCTTTTACCCTCCCAAGCATGATGGTCCTCTCCAAGGACTGGTCCCTCCTTGCAACATGTCCAAAGTATGTCAGACAAAGCTTCAGAATCCTTGCCTTCAAGGAGCAGCCTGGTTTCACCCTCTCCAGGACAAACCTGTTTGTTCTCTTAGAAGTCCATGGTATATTCAATACTCTTTTCCAGCACCACAGCTCAAAGGCATTAATTCTCCTTCTGTCATCCCTAGTCATTGTCTGGCTCTCTGATGCATAGCAAGTAATGGCAAAGACCATGGTCTGTATCAGGTGCACCTTAGTCTTCAGACTGACATCATTGCTATTCAGTAGGGAAAGGGTTTTCCTGTCAGCTGTAGGGGAAGGTCCTTGTCTCATCTTAGCATCTGTGGGCCTAGCGCTCCTGGGAGACCTCCATGTTTCTTGGCACCAACCTTCCCCCGAGTCTAGGAGGTTCTCAGCTCAGCTTCCCTGGGTCCAAAGGACATAACCTGCTCCTAGCTATTCTTTTTTGGCACCACTGAAATGCCCCCTTCTCTGTGTGATTCCTATATTTCTTATAAGATAAAGGGGTGAAGTCACACCCCGAGGAAACCTCCCTTTCTCCACATCAGGGCTGTGACCTCAATAAGGGTGCTGTATCCTATACAAAACCCCTTCCATCTGACTGGCTGATATTTGATTATGTCATGGGAGGCATCGTGTGATGATGGGATGATATCATTACACTGGCTGCCTCATCTCATCGCACTTTCCCGTCTCCTGTCACTTGGGAAACATCTGGCTGGGTTTTCTAATTACAGAAGACATGCACTCATTATCAAGTCAGTGAGTGCACAGCGCAGCCCAACGTCCAGAGGACACAGTGGCACTTTGCTGTGACCCTCTTGCTTCTGGGGAGTTGATTCCAACTCCTGACACCCACCTGTGACAGTAGGACTGTCCCCCCCCCCCAGGGCTTCCCAGGCAGTCGTCTATGGGAGCTGCATGCAAGGCCTTTCTCTGGTGTGTTTGCTGGACAGGCTGCTCTAGGAGCCAGTTCTCTCCTGTCCGGCTGTCTGCCCGCACTTTGTGGTGTTTGTGGCTTACTAGTCAGTGCAGCTCCTCCAAGGGCAGGAGTGTGTGTGCTCCCCCTGCTCCCAGGGCATCCCTCCTAGAGTGGCTGGACAGGGCAGGTGTGTATGTCCTCCTCCTGTCCCTAGGGCACCTCTTGCTGGGGTGGCTGGACAGGGCAGGTGTGTATGTCCTCCTCCTGTCCCTAGGGCACCTCTTGCTGGGGTGGCTGGACAAGGCAGGTGTGTATGTCCTCCTCCTGTCCATAAGGCACCTCTTGCCAGGGTGGCTGGACAGGGCAGGGGTGTGTGTCCTCCCCTGCCCCCACAATGCCCCTCCCTGAGGTGGATGGACAGGGAGAATGAGTTCTTCCAGGATGTGGCGGAGGGGCAAGCTCCTTTGGCCTCTCTCATCATTGTCACCATTCACATATGACGTGAATGAGGGTGTTAAGACAGCCTACTTCGCTTTCTAGAGGTGATGAGCCATCACCATAGGGCCCCTGGAGGGATCCACTCCCTGGGCTGTCTGTGCCAGGCTTGTGTAGCCCCAAGAGTGAGTTCTGGCACCCACACCCCTGGGTTGTCAATGGGAAGAGCTATGACATCAGAACTCACCAAAATGAAGAAGTACCAGGGCTGGGGCACACCAAACTGGCCTGGGCAGACAGCCTCCATGTACCAGGCCACCAGGCCGTAGAGGACAGCGTCCAGCAGCAGCATGCCTAGCACCTGCCCGAAGGAGAAGTCGTCGTCCACGTTGACTGGACTCAGGAGGTCGTGCCACTGCAGGCCTGTGCCTGGAAGACAAGTGGGAGGTGGTAGCATGAGGCCCGGCCCCAGATGGTGCTCACGAGTGCAGCACACAGGGACTCCACCACCAGGCAGCCAGCAGCTCACCCATTTGACTTCCTAACAAGCTTCCATGTTTCAAGTCTTATGTAATTTGGGTAAAAGTTTCCAGAACAAACTAGTTTTCTGCTCTATGATTCATACACATGTGTTGTGACTCTTTTGCCATCTCCACTATGGAACAACACTTTCCCTTCCTTCTCCCTATGTTTCTCATTTCCATCCATCCTTTCCCCTTCTTTCTTCCTGCCTTCTGGGCTTTCTCCCTGGGTAAATACTGTTCTTTTGATCACAGATGGTTGGCTGTCATAAGGAATGTGTTCCTCCCTGGTTTTACAGATCACCTTATGTTGTCAGGAAGCGTTGAGTCAGAACTGACTCAGATCTGACCCTCCCCAGGTGCTTTCAGAGGTTGTAAATGCAATAGAGGAGGAGACTGCACAGCATCCTCCCACGGAGCAGCGGGTGGATTCTAACCAGGCTGATCTGAACTGCATGCCTCTGGGTCGGCAGCACAGGGCGTTGGAGAGGAGGCAGAGAACAGGGCTGGGGCTGGGCCTCAGTGATCCGGAGGCAGGTGGAACAGCTTCTATGCCATTTCCAAGGCTTACAATGCCTGTGCCAGCAGGTGGTCTCCTCTTCCTCCCGGGAGGGGCTAGTGGGCTCAAACTGTCAACCTTTTTGTTTAGTAGCTGAGCTCTTAACCACTCTGCCAGCAGCATCCCTCAAATACATGTCAGCACCCACAACCACACACTCAACTTGGAGGACAGCTGACTCTGGACCAAAGTGTGCTGAATAGAACTCTTTCGTTGCAAAATGAAGTATTTCAGACATAACTCTTGTGACTCAGCTTTCAGTAAAATGAAAGGCAATGTGAACAATGTCACCAGGGAGAAACTCATTCCTGAGAACAATCAACCAGACGAGATCAAAAGGGCTGCGCTGATCCAGAAGGAAGCTCAGATGGTTGAAGTGGGTCAGGCAGAGGGTGAATGGAAACTAGAGTCACAGGGAGGAAGCAGGAAGGGTGAAGTTACACTGTAGGTACTGTAACTAGTGTTATAAAACGTATAGGGACGGCCAATGGAAAAGCAAATGCCTCTCATTTTCACACAGATCACAATAAAAAGTTAAGAATAAGCAAGAGTGCACAAGTTAAAGAAACAAAACAGTGGTAATCAAGAGGAAAGCATTCACCTTTGGCTTCAAATTTCCCTATGAGCTGGGCGCCCATGGCCATGGCCACGTTGGAGAGGAGGCAGGAGAAGAGCTTCTGGCTGAGGGTCATCCAATTGTAACGAGGCGCCACGAAGAAGTACGGGATGTAGGTGAAGAAGTAGAGAAATCCGCCGATGGCTGCCGCCATGTTGGCTGCAGGTGGACAGAGGGGTCAGTGGGGGAGCCCAGGCTCTGTCTGTGATACAGAGGGCCACCCTTGGACGACCTGCCCTGAGCCTTCTAGTGTCATGAGGCACCAGTACCAATGACAGAGAGAGGGGCTCCAGGCTCAGCCCCAGCCCTTTTCCCCTCATGCCCAGCTGGGGCTTCACCATTTTCCCAGTGTTGGGGACCCCTTTGCTGTATGTCCAACTGCCTCTCTGACATTGCTCATCTGATGTTGCTAACCCTGAACTCCTGAGTTCCCTGCTTCATGACCTGTATCTCTCCTGGCCTGCTAGACCTTGCATGTTCATTTGGTCATTTGACAAAACCCCTGGCCCTGAGCACTGATTTTGTGCCATGCACTGTTCCAGGAGAGAGGGAGACAGGGGGGCACAGGACGACCCACCCTCAGGACTGTCTAATCTAGTGACGGGACAGTCAGTCGGGTGTGGAGTGGCCTGGAAGCATGGTGGTGACCAGGAGGATGAGACATCAGCCAGTCCTGCCTCCATTCTTCTCTATTCCTTCAGCTCAAATTCTAAGAGTTTTTCTACTTCCATGTTCTCTAACCCCTAGTGATTAGTTAAGACTGTATCCCCTTGAAGATATGGCACTGGCTGCTACACAAAAGGTTGGTGCTTTGAACCCACCAGCTGCTTCATGTGGGAAAGATCTGCTGTGTAAAGTTTGCAGCTTGCAAACTCTCTAGGGCAGCTCTGCTCCATCCTGCAGGGTTGCTGAGAGCTGGAACTGGCTTGATGGTAGTGGATTTGGTTTTTGGTAGCACTATATGTTGAATCCTAACTCCTGTGACCCATGGGTGTGGAAGAGGGCCTTGGAAAGTGTTAAGAGTCAGCCCATGCCCTGGTGGTACAGTGGTTAAACACTTGGCTATGGATGGAAAGGCTGACCGTCTGACCGCACCAACGGCTCAGTGGCAACCCTCTGCTGGATTTCTCAGCCTGTGAATCTTCGAGAGGAGAATGCCTCATCGTTCTTCAGGTTGGCTGGTGGATTTGATCCACTGACCTCTTGGTCAGCAGCCCAACATACAACACAAATGTCACTGGGGTCCTTCCTGAAAAGATGATGGCCTATGAAGCCCCGTGGTACAGTTCTACTCTGTCACTCATATCACTATGCATCAGAACAGACATGAATGGCACCTCACACACATCACACTAGAGCAGACTGGGTGCTGAACCAATATGACCAGAGTCCACATGAAAGACGGGGCCCAGAGGGGAGAGAGTTGTGTGATGGCAGAGGTGGCGACTGGAGGGATGTGGCTACAAGCCCAGGACACCAAGACCACAGGAGCGGGAGAAACAAGGCAGGATCCTCCCTCACGCCTCCTCCCTGAATTCAGACATGCACTCCAGACATGAGGGTCAACTCCTGCCATCCTCAGCAGACACTTGGTCTGTTGCGTGCGGACTTCCTTGGTCACACACAGTTCACGTGGGGCGGCCCCGTTTTCTCGACCAAGAGTGCTGGAGGGCGGGGTGGGGTGGGGTGGTGGTGGTGGTGGAGGGAGACGACTGACCTTTGCTGAAGAAAGTGCTGACCATGAAGCTGAAGGAGATGGAGGCGGCGGCGAAGCACAGCAGGAAAACCAGCACCAGGGACGGGTCGCTGTTGGTGAGCACCGCCACGTTCTTCTTCACCTGCGGACAACGGGCAGGTCAGCTGCCGCGGAGGGACCAGGGGGCCACGTGGAGGAGCCAGGGGAGGGAGCCGAGGGAGCCCCCCGCCCCAGCTCTCTGCAGACACTGCCCCCTCAGGCGTGGCCCACACCCCCAGAGGCGGAGCCGGACACTTGCCCTGATGCAGAGGAGCAGGGTCATGAAGGCACTGGCGACGAGCAGCAGCAGGAAGGAGACGAGGAACCAGGCGGTCCAGTGCAGCCAGCGGCTCAGCCCCATCATGCACATGTGCTCCTGGGAGACGGGCACAGGGACTCAGCCGTGTGTCCAGACACATGCACATAACCGTGCTGGGTGGAGACCACAGAGAAATCCCCCGACCCCACAAATCCAACAGCTACAGGAGGAGTAAGGGGGGAATGCAGCCCCCCTTAATCCCACTGCAGCTCTGGACTGATGTAAAAAGGGGAGGTTTCCCCGGGTTCTGGCCAATGCCATCTTGTATTTCACCAAAGGGAAGCAAAGTGAGCCAAGAGGGGGTCCTCGGTACCACCAGAGAAAGACTCGCCAGGAGGGGGTGTGACCTTCTGGGCTTGAGTCCCTGCATTAGGAAGTCCTTGACGCGGAGGAAGGGAAGACACATGGCGTCCCCCAACGAACAGCCACAGGTGTGGAAGGAAACAACCTTCCCCCAGACTCGATAGACAGACGGACTTCTGGTCCCCTAAACCATGAGAGAATACACTGCTGCTTGGTAAAAAATCCATCCACTGTGGTATCTGTTATATCAGCACTAGAGAACTAAGACAGCGTGCCTGTCACAGCTCACAGGAGTTCCTGCATTCACTGCCCACAGTGTCTGTGTGATCACACAGGGGCAGGGACAGTGGGCCAGTCAGGCGTGATGCCTCTGCCAGGCTGGATTGGGGGGCACCCTGGTGGGACTGTCTGTCAGTCCCAGCAAACTGCCCACATAGCACCAGCCGGGTGGAGGAGAACCTTCAGGGCCGCCTTGCTCTGAGCTCACAGCGTGATGTTCCTACAGCGGAGCCTTGCTAGAACATTCTTGTTGGTGTCTGTTGGGAATACGTGCCAAAGATGTTATTTAACTCCTTAAAGAATAAAGGGAGCTGAATCAGCCTCTGCCCCTGGTGGCTCTTCCTCCCTGTCAAATAGGACAATTTACAGGCCTATAAAATGAACGGTAACGCTGGGGAGGCACTGGCTCGACTCCTCGGAACAATCAGTTGTACCAGATTGCACACACAGACTCAAGTTTGGATGGTTACCAAGGATTAGAAGGAAGAAGCAAGTCCAAAATCTCTGTAGATGTTCATTGAAATTAATAATAATAAAAAAAGAACAAGAAGCAGGGAGAAAAGTTAATAAACAGATTAACTGCATGAAGGGAAAGGCAATATAAGGGGCTGATCAGGCACTGTAATTAATTAGCTAATCAACTGTAATTAATGTTACAAAACAAAAGGTTTATGATTAAATGAAAAACCAGTATGAATTGTAAACTTTCATGCAAAAAACCCCAAAACAAAACAAAAGAGCAGCATTTGCCCAGGGAGAAAGCAAAGAAGGAATGAAGAGGCAAAAGTAAAGAGTGCATGGAAATGGGGACACCAGAAAGACATGGGCAAGGTGCCCCTACACTGTGGGACTGCAGCAGGAGAATGTGGGCAGGGTGCCCTTACACTGCGGGGATACAGCAGGAGGACGTGGGCAGGGTGCCCCTACACTCTGGGGCTGCAGTGTCAGGAAACAGAATGTGTACAAATGGTTGAATGAAAAATCAACTGGGTCTGTAAAAGTTCCACCCAAGTAATAAAAATGTCTTCAAAAGATGAGGGAACGAGTATGATGTTAGAGGACCTAGAGGGCCTGGATGGATATGAGCATGGTGTCAAAGCACTGGTCTGCTAACTAAAAGGTGAGCAGTTTGAATCCACTAACAGCTCTGAGGGAGGAAGATGGGCGGTCTCCTCTTGTAAAGACTTGGAGTTTCTACTGCTGTTAGTCAGAGCAGTTTGGTCTAGGTTTGGGATAGAAACAGAGAATAAGGAATTCCTGAAAGACACATTGTGCGCAGACTAGGGAACAATCTAGCCAAGAACCACTTGTGTTCTCCCTGACACACACAGCTGGTTTGCCTTTAATTTCTTGATCAGGAATCATTTTCACTGGCTGATTTCTACAACTCAGTGGGTTGTAAAAGAGTTCAATGGAGCCCTGGTAGTACAATGGTTAAGCTGCTAACAGCAAGGCTGGTGGTTCAATGGAGCCCTGGTAGTACAATGGTTCAGCTGCTAACAGCAAGGCTGGTGGTTCAAATCCACCCAGGTGGTGCTGCCAATGGAGAAAATACTGGTGGTCTACTCTCATGAAGATTAAAACCCTGGTGGTCTACTCTCATGAAGATTAGACTTGGAAAAGCCAATGCATAGCCACCAATGGGTCCTGACTCACAGGGACTCTGGAGAGAGGAGAGCTGCGCTGTGGGGGCTCCAAGGCTGTAAGTCTTCAAAGAAACACTTCTTTGTCTTCCTCCTAATGAGCAGTTGGTGGGTTTCAACCACTGATCTTCTGATTAGCAGTCTAATGCCACCAGGGATCCTCCTAGAATCAAACTGCACTGTCACTGTGTCAAGGAGCCTGTTCGAATCCACCAGCAGGTCTCTGGGGGAAAGAAGAGCTATCTCCTTCTGTAAAGATTTACAGCTGTGGACGCTTGATGGTGGGTCATCATGAGCCGGATTTGACTTGGTTTGGTTTTAGTTTTTGGCTACTGAGTTAATTGTGACTCACAGCAACCCTGCAAGGCAGAGCAGAACTGCCCCATAGAGTTTCCTAGGCGGTAAATATTCACAGAAGCAGATGGCTACATCTTCCCCCCCCCCCCCCCCGGAGTGGCTGGTGTGTTTGAACCACTGATCTTTTGGTTAGGTGACAAATACGGAACCACTGTGCTAAAGATGGCAGTTCTAACCTGTCACCTGGGGTTGCTGTGCGAGAGAATCAACTCGCTGGTTTCAACAAGAAGAACAACAACAGCTTAAAAATGAGGAAGGGAGAAGTCTGGAAGACAGTGTGACAGTGCAGGCCTCGTGTTGCTGTGGCTCTGAGTCTAATGCCTTGTAAATCTGTACGTTTGTTTTGTAAATTCTAACTTCTAGGATGTTAATGATGTCTGTTGCATGATGATGGCATCCCCATGGTGAGATCGGAGATGTGAGCAAGCCTGGTCTGATAGGAGGTTAGGTGGCATGCAGGACCCTCTCTCTGGTGGCAGTCTGATCAGGTGTAAGTGGAGTCTTCTCTGGGGTGTGGTCTGCACTGATTATCAATATGGACTCTTCAACACAACTAGTGTTCTTCTGATCTGGGTTCCACATCTAGTTTGCTAGCTCTGGTTCTTTTGGACTTGAACAGCCTTACCTGCTGGCATAGGAATGGTCAGCCTCTGAAATCAGCAGACTGCTGCCTTGCCTATTGGCCTTGGACTCATCAGCTTCCTCAGGTCTGACCCACAAACCTAGGATTTGTAGTCTCTACAAACAATGAGCCACTTCTTTGAGGGAAATCTCAATCTCCACACACACACACACACACACACACACACACACACACACACACACACACACGGCTTTGCTTCTCTGGAGAATCCAACTTAAGATGGAGAGCTTGCTGGAGGTGCAGCAGGGTTATGTTACCTTAAGTTTTTGCTCCTTCTCCCGCACGACAGCCCGGATGATGCTGAGTGAGGTGTAGGTGAAGCTCAGCATGAGCAGCAGGGGGAGCTGATACTGGATGGCGACGAGGAAGGGATCAGAGATGAATGGTGGGAAGGGGAACCGCTTGGCTACCACGGTGATCTTCTCCAACAGCTGGTGTGCGGAGGCATTGGTGTGGTAGCGCATGATGGCTCTGTCCACGGCATGCTGCACGGCCAGGAAGCCTTCTCGGATATACCCTGCATGGGAAAGCAAGGACATTCTTCCTGAAAGATCACATGGCAGAGTGCTGTTTGCTCAAAAAGCTGCATGGACCCCAGACTCCTGGAGAAAGGGACTCGTGAGGCACCAGGGTAACTTCTCTGAATGCCAGTCCTGTGACTGTAGGTGACATTCCTGGATGTTTAGTGGCTCTGGGGGAGGCAGGTAAAAGCACTGCAGGCAGATGCAGTGAAAGCGAATGAGAAGAGTGGCAGTGCTCTCAGGAACACGCCGCTGTGCTGGGGCAGTTATGCAATACCACCTTGGAAGACTCTGCTGTCTTAAACCAGTTTAATGAAATTATTTTCAAAGATATAATAATAATAATAACAACAATAATAATAACCACCACTACCACCAAGCTAGAAATACACTCCAGAAGAAAAGAAGAGTAAGAGATTGGTTCTGCCATGTAAGAGTCCTGTTGACGTGGTCTGTGATGTACTGGGCTGTGAACAGAAGGGTTAGTGGTTTCAATCCACCAGCAGCTCTGCAGGAGAAGGGCAAGGCAATCTCTTCCCAGAGAGTTACAGCCTCAGAGGGACACTGTGAATGGGAATAGACCCGGTGGCAGTGGGTTTCTGGCTCAGTGGTTCATACCCATCAATCACTCAAAGGGGAGATGCAGCTGTCTGATTATGGGAAGAGTACAGTTGTCTGATGGGAAGAGTGAAGCCTTTGGAACTCTATGGGGTGGTTCTACTCTGTCCTGGAGGGTCAAGATGAGTCAGAATCAACTTGATGGCCCCAGTTGGGCTTTTGTTTTGGTCCCCCACCCCAGTTTTGGTACCACATTAGGCCCCGTCAAGTAATCCAAGATAAAGATAATTTCCCTATTCTAATGTCTGCTGATCACATCCTTGTTCTTAGTGGTCACTGATTTGGTTTCAACTCACACTGACCCCACATATGACAGAATGGAAGCCGGCACATCCCTCACCATCCTTCTAGTCTCTGCTGTGTTTAAGCCACTGTTGCGGCCTCTGTATCCATCCAGCTCACCACGGCCTTCCTAGTCTTTGCTGACCCTCTACTTTACCAAGCATGATGTCCTTCTACAGGGACTAGCCTCTCCTGGTCACATGCTCAAAGTATGTGTTATCATCCTGGCTTCTCAGGAGCATGCTGGCTGCATTTCTTCCAAGACAGATTTGTTTATTCCTCGATACCTACTGAATAAACAAATTGCATTGCAATGGGTCAATACTCCTAACCAACAACCAAAGACATCAATTCTTTAGTCTTCCTCATTGATTGTCCAGCTGTCACATGTACGTGAAGCAACTGAAAATATCACAGCTTGGGTCAGGTGAACCTCAGTCTTTAAAGTGACATCTTTGTCTTTTAACACATGAAAGAGATCTTTGAAAAAAGTTGTCCAGTGCTATATGCCATCTGATTCCTTGATGCTAGGTTGTAGCCTGCGGATTCAAGGAAATCCTTGACAATTTCAATCTTTACTCCATTTGTCATGATGTTGCGTATGGTTCAGTTGTAAGGATTTTTTTCTTTTTTTTTTGAGCACTAAGAAGTATTTATTGTCTGCCAATCACACATTCTACAAGAATCATTGATAAATTACCCTTACAACAGTATCTTTTATCGCTATTAAACAAAGAGATGAGTTTACATATGCAGATGAAAAATCAGTGCCTGAACAAAAACCAGACTACTTTTGTTCAACAACATACAATGAGAAGATATAAAATCTCAAATGGCAATTTGGACACAGAAAGGATTTTAAGGCTTTTTAAATGCTTCTTCTCATCTCACATGTATCTTCTTCATACATAGCATCAGGTGTTCGTGTGCTCAAGTTTATAAACTCACAAGTACTAAATAAACATCATAGGTACTAAATGAACCTCTATAATTTATGTTCTGAATCATTCTTAATACATGCCGATACTACAAAGACTAAAAAATTGAAATAGAAACAGGATACAAGGTATAGAAATGAGGAAAATTATCTAAGAGTGACTACTTAAATCAATACTAAATCTAGGCTGTTCTAAGCACAGAGTCTTCTCTGTGAAGACTACTCCCCAAATTCTGCTTGCTCGAGTGCATCTTCTTCCACCATCTGTCTACTCTTGAGCCATCTTACAAAGTCCTGATACTCTTCTTGAGCTGGATTGACACCTCCTATATCAAACTGACCTTCATCTCCTCTCCCAAACAGATGATAGCCAGCTGCTGCTACACTGGCACCTGAGAGGGAAGATTCCTCAGTGCTTCTAGTCTCTGTATCCCTTCTAGATTGTTCTGTATTTTCCACCACCAGGTCCTCATCATCTGTTCTACCCCTGGTGGTGGGTATGTTTGAGTTGTCTGAGCTGACAGCTAATTCCATTTGGGAAGTGTCACGGTTAACAAGGTCTCTGCAGGTATTCACTGGACTGTTACTTGCAGTTAAAACCGTGTTACCTCTCTTTGTTTGCAGTGAGACACATGCCTCATAGGCGAAATACCCAGTAAATAACTGGAATTGATTCATTCTACCAAGTGTTGTCTTGATGATGGGAGTCATAACCCCCCCAGAGCAAGATAGATAGTTTTCCCATTTTCCACTTTTTGTGTAATGGTAAAAATGGCATTTACAGTCCCTCCGAATAGTATTACCTCATTAGAGTCAAGCATCTTATCAAGCACATTTCCATCTAAAAAATCTCTCAGTACCTTCCAGACTTTAGGGCCAATTATGTATTCAGTCCCTCGTGTAACTTCACAAATCTCACTCATGCCAAAGTTGGCATATATCAGAGTTTTCTCTACTAGCTTCATGATACCACTTACGAAATCAGTAGTCATTGTCTCAAAGAAGGATTGGGCAAAGGCACTGTATAAAGCCATGTCCTTAGAGAGTAAATAAATTCTAAGGCTGGAATAAGCATAGAAGCTCAAGAAGTATTTTGCACACTCCAAGATATCATCGTGAAAGCAGCGCACTCTTCTCCTCTTAAAGATTTCATAGGACCTTTGCTTAAAGTTGAACTTTACCACTGGAGCACTGCCATTGTTGCTCACATTTTGTGCCCCCATTTGGAGGTCTTCATGTGGGAATTTTCCATCAAAGACAGCATTCTGGATGTTTAGGACAGAGCCATCAAAGCTACTACCAGTCATGTGGAACATCATTAAGTGTTTCTCTTTTTGAAAGCTAATGGTTTTGTGTACACCTTTGGCCATGGCTTCCACAGTGGAATCATAAATGGCTCTCAAGGTATTAAAGTCAGGTATGTCCCCTGTATTCTGGAGAGTCTGACTCTGTATAGCCCTTAAAAAGTGTGGGACATTCACTACTGTATTTTCTGTCCCTCCTCCTAAAAAGTCTTCAGAAAACATTTTCAACTTGCTTGTCAATATGAATGAACATTCCTCAGAGAATATGACTCTACTTCCTTTATAGTGTATGCAAACTTTGGGTCTCTTCTGTTCATAAATCACTTTTAAAGGCCAGTGATCAATGACTGCCTTAACTACAGCATAATTAAATGTGAAATTAATCAACCTCTTGACATCTTGCATGTTAGCCACATTGATGAGGTATTCCCTCTTTGTCATAACTACATAGTCATGAGTGGGACCGTTACATTGGTAAATGGCAACAACATGGATGCCACCAGACTGGGTGGTCCCCGCAGGTGACACCATTCCCGTTTTAACACCTTTGCCACGGCCTTTGGAGTACATCTTTATGTTGATATATCAACTTTCGCTTTTGTCTTGAGGAGTTCTCAAAACCGTTTGATATATTAACTTGAGCTCTGTTCAGCACCAACCAGTCGTCCTAAGTCCTGATGGTAGGAAACCCTAGTTCCCCAAAGTAACTGTGTCACCAGAGTGCCTTCCACTTCACAGTTAGAGATGAGGCTCCTTAGGCTCAGGAGATGAGGACGGTACACGAAGGTAACCGGGCTCAGACCCCCAAAATGGAGGAAAGCAGGATTTTTTTTCTTTATGATGAAGTGTAATCCACGCTGAAGACTGCAGTCTTTGACCCTCATCATTACGTGCTTCAAGCTTTCTCCATTATCAGCAAGCAAGATCGTCATCTGCATATTGCAGGTTATTAACGAATTTCCTTTCAATCCTGAAGTCTCTTTTTTTCATATACTCCAGCTTCTCTGATTATTTCCTTGCAAAACAGACTGAATATAAAAGGTACAACCCTGACACATTTCTTTCCAGACTTTAAGTCATGCAGTACACCTTTGTTCTGTTTGAATGGCTGCATCTTCGTCCATGTATAGGTTCTGCATGAGCCCAGTGGAGTGTTCTGGAATTTTTAATGTTTTTTTTTAAAAAAATTTCTACTCTTATCAATCTTATAAAAAACGTATCATAATTCACACAGTCAGATGCCTTTGTTGCTATTGTCAGGTGCTAGTGAGTCGAGTACGGCTTCAGCAACCCTATGAACAAAAGATAAAACCAGTCCTGTCCTGCGCCATCCTCACACTTCCTGACACACAAGAGCCCACTGCAGCAGACACCTATCAATGTACCTGATTGAGGGTCTTCCTCTCCTTCGCCAACCCTCCACCCTTCCCAACATCATGTCCCTCTCCAAGGAATAGCACTTCCCAGCATTATGTCCAAAGTATGTGAGGTGAAGCCTCATGATTCTTGCCTCCAAAGAGCACTCTTTCTGCACCATCTCCAAACAGACTTATTTTTTTTTGTTCTCTTGGCTGTCCATGGGATGTTCAGTGCTCTACTCCAACACCACAGCTGAAAGGCATCAATTCTTTTTCTGTCATCCTTATTTACTGTCCAGGTCTTGGATGCATAGGTAGTAATCGGAAAGACCATGGCCTGAATCAGACGTACCGTAGTCCTCAAACTGACATCTTCAATCATTTGGAAAGGTCCCTCATTTCTCTTCAATAATTTGGAAAGGTCCCTAACTGCAGATTTCCCCAGGGCTTATTTCCCCAGTAGTTATTTCCTGACTGCTCATACCAAGGGTGTTAATTGTGGATCCAAGTAAGATGAAGCTGTTGACAGTTTTAATCTCCTCTCCATCCATCATGACACTGCATATTGGTCCAGTGGTAAGAATCTTTGTTTTCTTGACACTGAGACACAATCCATACTGAAGGCTACATTCCTTGATCTTCTGCAACAAGTGCTTCAAATCCTCCTCACTTTCAGCAAGCAAGGTTGTGTCATCCTCATAACACAGGTTATTGATGAGTCCCCCTCCAATCTTGATGCCACAGTCCTCTTCACAGAGTCCAGCTTCTTGGATAATTTGCTAAGCATATAGATTGAACATGTATGGAGACAGAATACATCCCTGATGCACTCCCTTCCCAATTCCAAACCATGCAGTGCGCCCCTGCTCCATTTGCACATCAGCCTCCTGGTGCAGGTAGAGGTTCCTCATGAGCACAATCAAGTGCTCTGGGATTCCCATTCTTCTCAATGTCAGCCACAACCTGTCATGATCCACACAGTCAAACGCCTTTGCATAGTCAATAAAGCACAGATAGACATTCTTCTGGCATTTCTTACTTTCAGCCCAGGATCCATCCTACATTAGCAATGATATCCCTGGTTCCATGGCCTCTTCTAAATCCTGCTTGAACTTCTGGCAGTTCCCTATCTATGTGCTGTTCCAGCTGTTTTTGAATGATTTCAGCAGTATTTTTCTAGCATGAGATCCTAATGATATTGTTCGATAATTTCCATATTCAGTTGGATCACCTTTCTTGGGAACAGGAACAAACATAGACCTCTTCCAATTCATTGGCCACAGAGCCTCCAAATTTGTCCTCCAAATTTCCTGGCATAGACTGGTGAGTGCATCCAAGGCTGCATCTGATAACTGAAACAAGTCTATTGGTATCCCATCGATTCCTGGGGCCTCGTTTTTTTTTTTAAATTTTTTTTTATTTGCCAAAGCCTTCAATGCAGTGTCCACTTCCTCTTTCATTACCATTGGCTCCTGTTCATATGGCACTTCCTGAAATTTTTCAGTGTCAATCAAGTCTTTCTGCTACAGTGACTCTGTATTCTCTCCATTTTCTTTTGATGCTTTCTGGGTCATTTTATACATTGCCCATAGCATTTTTCAACACTTGCGACACGAGCCCTAAATTTATTTTTCAGTTCTTTCAGTTTGAGAACTGCAGAGTGAGTTCTTTCCTTTTTATTTTCCAATTCCAGCTCTCTGCACATTCCGTTATAATACTTCACTTTGTCCTCCCGAGATGCTCTTTGAAACTGTCTGTTCAGCTCTTTTGCTTTGATATGTTTTCCTTTAGATTTGGCTTCCTGACATTCCAGTGCCATCTTTAGAGTCTCTTCTGACATCCATTTCAATTTTTTTCTTTCGTCTCTGTTTTTGTAATGAACTTTGGCTTTCTTCATGGAAGACATCCTTGATATCATCCCACAACTCATCTGGTCTTCTATCATTGGTGTTCGATGCCTCAAACCTATTCTTAAGATGATCATGAAATTCCAATGGAATTGATTCAAGATCATATCTTGGGTGAACTGTTTGGACATTTCTAAATTGTGTTAGCAATCAAGTGTAAGCTGATCTCAGATGCCTTTACAAAGACAGTAAAACAAAGTAAACATCTTTCTGATATTCATTTTCTGCTTTCAATCCAGATCCATCTGATATCAACAATGATATCAGATCAACAATATCTCTCATTCCATATCCTTTTCTGAATCCAACTTGAACTTCAGGCAGTTTCCTACTGATGTGCTGTTGTTGTGTGCCGTTGAGTCAGAACGGAGCCACAGCTGACCTTCCAGTGGGTTTTCAGAGGAAAACCCCACACAGAGGCAACTGCCCATCCTTCTCCCGCAGAGCACCTGGTGGATTTGAACAGTGAGCCTTTGTGGTTATAGTGCAGCTTCTTAACACTAGGCCACCAGAGCTCCCTATTGATGTGCTACTACAACCATTTTACAATTATTCTCAGCAAAATTTTACTTGTATGTAATGTTAATGATATTTGATAATTTCCACATTCTTTGGGTCATCTTTTTAATTTTTTTTAAAATAGCACAGATGTGGATCTCTTCATGCAAGTTAGCTAGATAGCTTCCAAATTTCTTGGCATAGACTCACGAGCATGTCCAGGCCTGTATCTCTTTGTTCAAATCGCAATTGGTATCCTGTCAATTGTTGGAGTCTCTTTTTTCCCCAAGGGCAAGCTGCTGGCACAGTCCACAGGGGGCTGCTCTGCCAATCCAAAAGTGGTGCCTTTCTGGTGGTTCAAATACACCAGCTGCTCCTTGGGAGAAAGATGGGCAACTCCTGTGTAATTTACAGCCTGAGTTGGTTCCAACTCTACAACCTTCAGGATTTCTTAACAAATGTCTTCACAAGGTCACCGTTTGTCACACTGTGGTGGCTTGGGTGTTGCTGTGATGCTGGGAGTTCTGTCACTGGAATTTCAAATACAAGCAGGGTAACTGGTGGTGGACAGGCTGTCAAGGAACTTCCAGACAAAGATAGACTAGGAAGAAGGTCACGGCAAACCATCTGGTAAAAAGTGGTTGTTGCGAACCTTATAAGCAGGTGCTGGGAGGCTGTATAATGCAGCCTCAGGAATCAAACCTTCAGGGTGGAAGGTACTCAAGATATAACTAGAGAAGAGCTGCCACCTCAGAACACAGCACACACAGCTGAGCTCCCCCAACACCTGCACTCAGAGCTCACGGCTCACACTCCTGAGTTCCACTGACACTTGCATTCAGAGCTCACCGTTCACGTACCTGAGCCCCTCCACCCACAGCTGAGCCCAGACCTCACGGCATTGTACCTGCACCACAGGTGAGCATCAGGTGGCTGACCCCATGGCCCATGTCTTACCGGGTTCTCCACCGTCAGGCGATGCAGGTTCCCGGGGGCCTGGGTTTGGGAAGAGCGGGAAGAGGGAGGTGGTGTGCCAGCCCTCAGCCTCCTTGAGGAAAAAGGAGCCCGCCTTGGTCCACATGTAGTTTCTCCGCGTGTAGCTGAAGCGCAGGTGGTACCTCACCTATGGGAACAGAGCGGGACCAGCGTAAGGCCCTCCCTCACACTCTCCCTCCAGGCCCCACAAAAGCTTGGAAATCAGTGCTGGGCCAGGCATGGGGAGCCCCATGGGGGCATTTCTAGGGTGCTCTTAGCAGCCCCTCATCATTTCCCAGTGTGAGCTCTGTGTGAGGTGGGCCCTCAAAACCACTGCTCTGAGGCCCACGGAGGCTGTCAGAAGAGCCCAGTGGTGAAGTGCATTACGTCTGGGAGGCCACGTGATGTTCCAGAAGTAGAAAACTTTTCTTCTTCCTTTTTTAAAAAATGTTTCTTGTTTGCTTTATTTATTTATTTTTGTATATGTGTATGTGTGTGTGTGTGTGTGTGTACCGTCAAATCAGATCTGACTGGTACAGGAGGAGATTGTTTCTCCTTCTCCAGCAGAGCATCTGGTGGATACGACATCTCTGGTACCGCAGTGCAGCTTCTTGCCACTAGGCCACCAGAGCTTGCCAACTTTTCTTCTTGTTGTTGTTAACTCAAAACAAAACTCAAACGCATTGCTGTCAAGCTAGAATGATTCACGGCTGACCTTCAGAGAGCGTTCTGGGAGGCTGTAAATCGCAGGAGCGGAGACTGCCTGTCTTTCTCCTGCAGAGCAGCTGGTGGGTTTGAACCACCAGACTGGCAGGCACCACCTTTGGGTTAGCAGTGCACCTAGTTACAGACCACACCCTGACCAAGCCATCAGACTTAGCGCTGCTGGCCTAGACGTAAGAAGCTGTGCTGCTACCCCTAAGGCATGTGGTTCAAATCCACCAGTTGCTCTGCAGGAGAAGGATGTGCAGTCTCTTTTCGTGTGATTTACTGCCTCAGAAAACCTGCTTGACAGTCAGCTATGGGTCGGCTCCAGCTCCACGGCACACCACAGGCCATGAGTGCTCCTTGTTAATGCATGACTGAAATTCCAAGTCCAAGCACCTGCTCCTCGACCTCTGTACATCTGGCCCTGTGCATGGTGGCCTGCACATGGCACCTCCTCTTCCAGAACGGAGGGCTCCTCAGGCACACACTACAAACCCCAAACCACACTCCTTGCTGCTGATTCCATCTGGACTCATGGGCCCCTCGATGCTGTCCAGAGGCTGTGCATCTTTACAGAAGGAGACTTAGTGCCTAGGCTTTCCCTGTGGACAGCTGGTGGATTCGAACCACTCACCTCTCAGTCAGTGGTATACTGCTGTGGTCTTTAGTTACCCTTACAAGCCTGGAAGTGAACTCACTCCTATCATTCAACTTTCAGTCAAACAAGGGGCAGACCTAGAAGGTGATCAGTAATGCCAAGGAGGAACACTCAAGTTTGACCAGCCAACCGTTTGAGATCATGTCTGTCCAGGGAGCAAGTCCAGAGTGCAGGAAGCGATAGGACAGCAGGAGGAATGGAAACGGGAAGCACAAGGCAGAAAGGGGAAGAGTGCTGCTCCACAGTAGGGCCTGCAGTCGATGCTACACCACAGACTGAGCATTGTGTGAACTGTGGAGCAGAGAGCCAATTTGTTCTATAAACTTTTATAACAGTGAAAAGAAAGGTGACCCTAGATCTAGAGGGGAGAGTCCAGGTCTTCACTGGGGCAGAAGTTTCTGGAAAAGTAGCAGCTTGTATAGGTCAAATCCACTGATGGGGGAGGATGCGAGGGCCCGGTGGCCAGTCAGTGCAGCGATACGGGGGTTCTCACCGCCAGGGGCAGGGGGTCCTTGCTGTGGTTGAACGTGTGTTCAAAGACAAGGGCGGCCAGGACGTTGGATGAGCGGTTGTCATACTTGATGTAATCCTCAAAGTCCTTCTCGGAGGGAAAGCCTCGGACTGTGGAGAGAACATACGGCAAAGATGGGACCTCCGAGATAGGCCTTTGGGTCAGACGGTAAACCCCTGGGTTTCCCAGCTGTGGGCTGTCGCTCCCAGCTCATGCAACACCTCACAGTGTCATCCAGAGAACCAGCTGGTGCAGGACGTAGATCCCCAGACCTTTCCTCCTGGTCTATCTCAGTTAGAAAGCATCGCTGAAACCTGTTGCGCATCCTCGTGACACACACACCTCTACTGACTGACAAGTGGTGACTGTACATGAGGCGCAGTGGCTGGCACTGAACTGGGGCCTCTGCCTGGCCTCAAGAATCCCACCTCAAGCCACTGTTGCCCCAACAGATGCTTCTGCCATCAGTTCCTGATTTCTGGGGACCCAGGGAGAATTATGGTCTTTGTGGAGCAGGAGCTCTGGTGGTGTGGTGGATTAACTGAAAGGGAGCTGGTTCAAACCCACCAAAGATTCCAGGCCCAGAAGCTCCCAGGGCAGAGCCACTCTGTCCTACAAGGGCTACTGGAGTCGGGATGGACTCTATGACAGTGGAGGGACATTTTACTGTGGGGTTTTTTTTGTTTAAGCTTTGTGGCAAAGAATCCTGGTGGTGCAGTGGTCAGGCCCTCAGCTGCTAATCCAAAGGTTGGCAGTTCAAAAGTTCCAGTTGCCCTGAGGGGAAAGTCATGGCCATCTGCGTCTGTAAACACCACTCTGCTCGGTGGTGCAGTATGTGGGCAGCTGTGCTGCTAACCACAGGGGGCTGCCGCTCTGGCAGTTCAGATTCACCAGCTGTTTCATGGAAAAGGATGGGTACTCTCCTCCCTTGCAATTCACAGCCCCTGAAAAACCACGAGAGGGTTGGCTCTGACTCAATGGTACACACAATGACAATAACAATAACAATTTTTACAGAAGCAGATTTTCAGGATTTTCTTCTGACAGCCTTGAGATAAGTTCATTCTCTCTCTCTCACCGCCATCGAGTCAGAACCAAATCACAGCCAACCCTCCTGCGGGTTTTCAGCGGTTGTGAATCGCAGGGGAGGAGACTGCCAGCTGGCTGCAAATGCTTGTACTATTTGGGCTTCTTGAAGTTTTCCTAGGGTTTTGTGACCCTTTCCTAAGACTCAAAGGGGCTTCCATTTTCAGCAGGGAGACAGACAACAGAAGCTGGTGAAACGGCTCCATCTGTGTTAGGCAGACAGTGATTCCTTCCTTCCCTCGAGGGTGGAAGGTGGAAGGGCGGCTTTGGCAGCCACCAGGTATCCTACAACCCAAAGTCCTCCTCTCAGCAAGGGCCCCCTGGGCTCCACAGCTGGAGCCCCTGGGCTCCAGGCAGGTACCCCCGAGGCTCCACAGCTGGGGCTCCACAGCTGTGCCCAGCCTCACCACCTCGTAACCTCAATGCCATGCTTGTAACGTCCAGCGGACATTCTGGAGGATCATGCCGTATCTTGCTTTGACCATGGCCACCGAGAAGGAGGGCCCAGCACTTCACTCAAGTGTTTGCCAAATGGACTTAAACAACCCACTGCAAGTGTTGCCAAAATTAAAGGTTAATGGGGGGAAAGACATTATTTTTTTATGCTGAGGGGAAATTTCACCATTGTTAGGTCCATTCTAACTCACAGTAACCCTGGACAGAACAGAACAGGATAGAACAGAACTGCCTGACACGATTAATAAGGCTGTGAATCTTTACAGGAACAAACTGCCTCATCTTTCTCATCTTTCAGCAGCCAAGAAGCTGCTGGAGGATTTGAATTGCCTGCTTTGGGGCTAATCACTTGACCACCAGGGCACTTTTACTGAAAGGAAAGATCTAGAAAAAATGACTAGCATACATAAGCCAGAAGTTTCCCTTAACAGCCTGGCTTTCTTTCTTTTTTTTTTAAAGGAGTCCTAGTGGTACAGTTCATTATGTGTTGTGCTGTTAATCAAAAGGTTGGTGGTTCAAGTCCATCAGCTGTGGGCAGTTTCCTCCTGTCATGAGTTACAGCTTGGAAACCCGAGAGAGTTGGAATAATCTTGACAGCAGTAGATTATCTGTAGTCAAGTCCTCCTTTAAAATACAATTTTATTTTAATTTTTTAGTGCATACTTCTTTTTAAAATTATGATTCATTTTAATGAAAGTTTACAGAGACTTTGGATTTACATTCATTCATTGTTTCACTTTTCTCCCTGCCCACCCCTTCCCCCCAGTTTGCTCTTCTCTTTGAAAAGTAAAATTCTTTCATTGTTATACAATCCCTCTCCCCAAGTCCGCTACGCAGCCTTTGTTCTGGACTCCTGTCATGACAATAATACCTAATCGCATATCCCTTTTAAACAGTTCTCTCCCTCATCTCTTTCAATGCAGTATACATAACTTATCCCATCTTTCTCAGTCTCCCCCCAACCCCGATGTCAGTCCTGTTTTACAACAGTGGCACTATGCAATATTGGTCCTTTTGTGACTGAGATATTTCACTCAGCATAGTGTCTTTCAGGGTCACCCATTTTATATACTATTTCATGAGTTCCTTGTTTTTCAAAGCAGCATCATATTCCATTGTGTGAATATACCACAGCTTCCCAATCCATTCATTTGTTTATGGGCACTTAGGTTGTTTCCAACTCTTTGCTATTGTGAACAAAGCTGCAATAAACATGAGTGTGCATATATCTGCTTGGGTGGTGGTTATGGTTTCTTTGGGGTATATCCCCAGTAGTGGAACTGCTGGGTCAAAGGGTATTCTATTTGCAACTTTTTTAGAAAGCACCATACAGCCTTCCAGAGTGGTTGCACTAGTTTACACTGCCACCAACAGTGAATAAGGGTTCCAGTTTCTCTGAAACCTTGCCAGCATTTGTTTGCTGTTCTGTTAAATTTTGTTATTCTTACTGGGGTGAGATGATATCTCATAGTTGTTTTGATTTGCATCTGTCTTAGAGCTAGGGATTTTGAACATTTCTTCATGTGTTTGTGTGCCATCTGAATGTCTTTGGTGAAGTGCCTGTTCATATTCTGTGCCCATTTTTCAATTGGATTGTTTACCTTTATCTTGTTGTGGTGCTCTAGTATTTAATAAATTCTCTTGTCTGACATGTCATTACCAAACACTTTTTCCCAGTCTGTGGCTTTCCTTTTTACCCTGGTGGAGAAGTTTTTGGATGTGATAGGGATTTGATTATTAGAAGGTCCTGTTCATCATTCATCTCTTTTATATTCTCCTGGTTGTAGATTTTTCAGGATGATTGGAAGACTGTTTATGTTGTGGATTAGGACTTCTAGAGTTATTCCAAGCTTTTCTTTAGTGAAGTTTATAGTTCTTGGTTTTAGTTCTAAATCCATGATCCACTTTGAGTTGGTTTTTGTGTATGGAGTGAGGTATGGATCTTCCCTGAGTTTTCTGCTGATAGTTTCCAATTTTGCCAACACCATTTGTTAAAAAGACTGTAGTTTCCTCACTTAAATGATTTCAACTCCTTGTCAAAAATCACTTGACCATGGGTAGATGGGCTGATTTCTGAATTCTCAATTCTATTCCATTGAACTATGTGTCTGTCACTGATCATACTATTTTGACCACCACGGCAGTGTAGTAGAATTTGAAATCAGGGAGTGAGATGCCTTTTTTAAAGGAGTGTTTTGCTTATTTGAGGCTTCTTTTCATTCCAAATTAAACCTGAAATTGCCTTTTCCGTCTCATTGAAGAATGGGATTGGTATTTGTATTGGGATTGCACTGAATGTGTTAAGTGCCTTCGGTTGTATTGTCATTTTCACAATATTAAGTCTTCCTATGCAAGAGCAAGGAATTTTCTTCCATTTATCCAGTTCATTTTTTGTTTCTTGTAATAATGTTTTATAATTTTCTTTGAATAGACCCTTTGTGCTTCTGGTTAGATTTACTCCCAAGTATCTAATCTTGTGATTAGCTATTGTGAAGGGTATTATTTTTTTAGCTCCAGCTCTGTATTGTCTTTGTCACTGTAGAGAATTTCAACTGATTTTTGTATGTTGATCTTGTATCCTGACACTTTGCTGAATTGGTCAACTATGTCCAGTAGTTTTCTTGCTAAGTATTTAGGGCTTTCTAAGTATATTATCATATCTTCTGCACAGAGAGATAATTTTACATCTTCTTTGCAAATTTGGATACCTCTTATTTCCTTCTCTTGTGTTATTGCTATCAATAAGATTTCCAATACAATATTGAATAAGAGCATATTGTGGGTATCCTTTCCTAGTTTCTGTTCTTAAAGGGAATGCTTTTAATCCCTCTCCACGGAGAAAATTGTTGGCTCTCAGGTTTGTGTATATACTATTTACTATGTTGAAGAAATTCCGCTCTAGTCCTATTTTGTTGGGTGTTTTAATCAGGAAAGGGTGTTGGATTTTGTCAAAGGCCTTTTCTGCATCAATTGATAGGATCATGTGGTTCTTGTTCTTTGCTCTGTTCATGTTGTTGTTTGTTGTTATGTGCCGTCGAGTCGTTTCCGACTCATAGCGACCCTATGCACAACAGCCCTAAACCCTGCTCTGTCCTGCGCCAAACGCACCGCCTCTGACACACCCATCCCGATTACCCCAGTCAC